TGGTCCCCTGGCTGTGGTACTCATACATTGGCAAAGCAATTTCTCATCTCATGYTTTTTAAGGCCAGGAAGTGTCTGCTGTCCCAGAAAAAGCAGAGTCACCAGTTGCAGACTGCAAAATAAATACCTAGAACTAACAAGGTACAATCACAGGAATGAGAGAAAGAAAAATGGTGCAGCCTATAATTACTCCCCCCAAATTTGAGGGAAAAGGAAATAAAATATTAAATTCTTACCAACAAATTGATTGCTAATAAAGAGATTAGTCTGATTTCCCCTAATACAGCAGTGGTTATAAAAATGCTTGCAACGGTTGTTGAGACTGATCTCCAGGTGTTTGTTTTGTCTTTTTTTTGAAGCTGGAGCTTATGTTGTAGGCACCATTAACCCAGATCTGTACAAGTTTCCTGAAGATGTAAGTGAGACAGATTTTCCTGATGGCAACATTGGCCGCCTCTGGTTCTCCGTAGAATACGAGCAGGAGTCAGAAAGGCTCCTCGTCTCTTTGATCAAAGCCAGAAAGCTGCAGCCTCCTGCTGATTCCTGTAGCCCATTTGTGAAAATCTACCTGCTACCTGATGAAAGAAGCTACCTGCAGTCCAAAACAAAACGTAAAACTCTTAACCCGCAGTTTGATGAAAATTTTGTTTTCCAGGTACTTTCTCTTTTGATGAGGCAGATTTTTGTTTGCAATAATAAATAAACTACAGAAAATAATTAATAAATAATAAATTAATARATAATAATAACTAAGGTACAAATTTATAGAAAATCAATGCTCACAATACTTCTACACCAACAAAGAAGTTGTTTCCACCAGAGACAGGACTTTTTACTGGCACTTCTGGAGATCCTGGGCTACAGAAGTACACGGATGAGAACTGATCTTACTTGTGGTCTGCACCAAAGTTAAGGATTTCAGAACTTGCTCTGGGAATAATGAAAACTCCAGTTTGAACTACAGCTGAGCAGTTCAGCCCAGCAGTTCTGGAAGCTCAGAAGGAGCCAATACTGATCTAATGCTTTCATAACCTTTAGTTTCTTTGCTGTGGAAGTTGCCTAGACAGCAGAACTTGGGAGATATGTCTGGGATGCTATTTGTATAGTACTGTAAAGCTTGGCTTCCCATGCTGAGACTTTCAGCCCATGACACAAGACAAAAGCTTTAAAACCAAAAAAAGTTTGTGTTTCTGACAATTGACAAAATGCTTACAGATTCTAAATGCTTATGTCTGAAAGTGAATGCATCACACAGCACTGGATTCATAYGAGCTGAAAAACCAGCTAACTTCAAGCTTTCAAATGAACTTGTATTTTAGCTTGGATCTTGATCTTCTGCATAGCTAAAACTTCAGGCAAATTTAAAAAGCAGATTTCAAATAATTAAAGGAAATCTCCACCTACACTTAAAACACTTTGAAAACTATTTCCTTTGAAGTCATGCTAGAGTAGAAAAGTGTCAGATGTTTTACAATTATTAATATATTCTTCCTTTTCCTGTACAGGTTTCCAGTAAAATGTTGCTACAAAGAACACTTAAGTTTTTGGTTTATCATGTTGATAAAGAAAAGAAGCATCATCTCCTAGGCCAAGTTATCTTCCCACTAAAAAATGAAGCACTAACTGAGGACAACAAACTAGTCATATGGAGAGATCTGGAGAAAGAAAACATAGAGGTATGTGATACCAGGCTGATTGGCATTGTGGAAATTCCATCATCTTACAAGTGTTGGAAGGATATAGCTGAAATACGTTCTACCAARAACATCAAATACAAAAGTAAATCATAAACATTTGGATCAAAATTCCCACCTTACCAACTTGCAGATCCATAGCTGTTGTAAAGGGATTGCCCAGCTGCTTAGAAAATGTCACCATTTAGGAAGTAGTTATGTAAGAACTTTTGTTATTTGTTTCTGATTTGAATTAGCAAGAGCAGAAAAGAGCAGAAGAGGCAATGTATCATCTGGAAGAGAGTTAATTCTGAGGGTTAGGGTTATGAATTGATTCCATCAAATGTTACAACAGCATAAATAAAGCCATAACAATTCACTTACATGCCTTAGTGTGACAGAAACCATTAGTAYGAAAAAGGCTTTTTCTTCCTACTTGTCCATGTGAAGAGAGAGTTTTTCAGACCTATTTGACAGGTGGTGTTCTCTTCCAAAGCCTCCCTCAGAGTATGGTGATATCCAGTTCTCCCTGAGCTACAATGACTACCTGGGCCGTCTCACCGTGGTGGTTCTGAGGGCGAGGGGATTAAAGCTCCAGGAGGAGAGCCCTGCTGTCGGTGAGTGGGATTTCCTCTCTGCTAGCAGCTCCATGATTCCTGTTTTAATTTGCTCCTTCCTCATCTGTCCACCCAGGCTTGTGCTGTGAGACTCTGACAAGAACAAATAAACATCCTGTGATTTAATTTGAGTGGAAATAAGCCATATTTTGCCTTGGGGCAATTAGATTTTGATACCTTAGCTCTGCTATGTTTGGGGTTGGTTTCATAATAAATGGTTTGTCTTGTGGCAATTGGTGGCAAGATTTTACTCCTGTTTTAGTACAGTGAGCAACACCCTTTTGCTGCACTCCAGYCCAGAGAAGGCAGCATTTCAGGAGATATTGACGTTAACATTTGCCTCAAGCCAAATTCCCAGAGATAACAGCTGCAGGACAACCTCTTATACTGAACAGCTGTCCTGGGAAGAACAGAGCTGGGAAAAGAAATCCCATTTTAAGGMCAGCCTCCATGTTGTTCAAAGGACCATGGCACAGAGTCACAATTTTGTCCCTTAGTGCAGTGGGCTTTTCCTGATTTGTCATACTCAAGTGTCCTTTGTCTCAGAGTTTAACCTCAAAATGCTGTTTACAATCTGAACGCTCAAAGCAAAAACAGATGCAAGAACCAAACTTGTATTTCAGTCTGTAGTGATTTCTTACAGGGCTTTGAAGCTAAACAACATAAATGCAAAATACACCTATCATTTATAAAGAAAAGAGATTTAGTCCTCTATTAAGTTTTCTTRACTGAACAAACTAAGCCTTCAAAAAAATCTCCTTCAGATGAAGGAAGGGCACAAAAATGTAAGATCAAAGATACAGGGTAAGAATATGACTGCTTATTTTAACAGCTCCTAAATTGGAAAGTGCACTGCAAAACAGTACCATCAGTATTTTKTGTGCTCCCTGCTTAATGTTATGCTGTCATGTGCATTCCATGGATCTTTCACAATCTGATGTTATACTTGATAGTGACCCCTGAAAGGAATAAATTCCTTAAGCTGTCTTCCAACTGCTTCTTATAGATTTTCATTTTGAATTTCTTTTTCCCCAAGGTGTGTATGTCAAAGTCTCACTTATGAACCACAATAAATTCATCAAAAGTAAAAAGACAGCAGCTCTCCTGGGAACTCCCAATCCTGTGTACAATGAAACCTTCAGTTTCAAGGCAGATCAGACAGAGCTGGATACAGCAAGCCTGAGTCTATCAGTTCTCCAGAGTAACAAAGCAGAAAGTAAGTTATAGAAATTATTACAGTCAAGTTGTCAAATCTCTTGCCTATTTGAGACATGTTTAAATCTGGGAGGAGCTAATTCCTTTCCAGCAACAATCATATAACATGTAAGAGTTCTGGGCTATTTCAAAGGCTGTCTTTTTAAAATCAGAACAACTTAACTGTAGTTAAGGATATGTCTCTTTTTCAGAGGCTAAAGATAAATTTCATAGAWGACAGGAATAAAATAACTGCAGACTAATCAATGTCAGTACAAGGTGCTGCACTTTTGTTTCATTCCAGTATCCCATTAAGACAAGCTTAAGTGAACACTTGTGTGTGCAACATAAAACCTCCAAAATTCTGAGGCCATTCACTCTTTCTAAGCAGATTTGAAAGAAAAATAGGCATTTTCATTCTCCCAGCAGTGAGAAAGAAGAGATATTAGCAAACATCCCCATTCCCTGGCAGAAGGCCTGATACTTGAAGCCACCTCTCACTAATCTTTAGAGAATCCATTAAGGAGTTCTGCTTAGAGAGGCAGRTCAGAATTCAGCATTTCCACTGTTCACGAGAAAAACAACTTCCCTGCAGTACAAATATGATTTCACTGATTTTCTCCATTCATAGCTGAAAAGTCTAGGCATGAAGAAACAATCTGCTATTTGGCAGAGGGGGGTCAGTGGCAACCCACATATTACAGCTCCCAGCTGTCTCGGTAACTGCATTCATTTTTTCCCCAAGCCAGACCATCATATGATTCTTACTGAGGCTGCTGATGTCCAAAATTAGGGCACACTTTCACTTGAGGTAAAGGGGATGGGCAGATACAGATATTTGTGCCTTGAACGTATTCTAATTTAACCACAGGCAAAAGGAGAGGCCTGCATTGAATACTCACCTACTGCAGTTCCTTTTAATGCTGAATCTTAGCAGGGAGAGGCTACAAAACCTGAAATCCAGAGTTATTTCCTTGATGCATATTATGGTCCAAAAATACCTTTCAGAACAGGCATTACTTGGAGAAATTCAAGTTAATATTCTAATTCAGGCAAAGATTTCAGAGAAGCATCACATGTGCTCATCACGAACTAATTCCTTCTTTCCTAGAAACACTTCTGCTGGGACGAGTAGTAGTTGGGCCTTTCATGTACACACGTGGCAAAGAACTGGAACACTGGAATGAGATGATCAGCAAGCCCAAGGAGCTGGTTAAACGATGGCATGCTCTCTGCCACAGCACGTGAACAGCACTGATTAAAAAACAACCTTAACATGGGAAAGCTCTTACTAGTTTTATCTAAAGGGTACAAAAATCTTTGCTATGATTTTGTACCCTGAGTAGAAAAAATAAATTATTTCCTTGACCAAACACAAATAAAAGATTTGGTCCCTGATAGGCTGGGACTCTCTTCAAAATATATGCTAAATTTAATTAACATGCAGCTGAGCAAAAAAAAAAACAAAAAAAAAAAAAACAAACAAAAAACAGTAAGCCAAACATGATCTCTCAGTATTAATTATTTTGACTAGTAAATTCCCTTTCTTGGTCATGAATTCTGGGCACAAATGATCATACCTCACATGGATAGAGCCCAAAATGACCCAAGAATTGCCAGTGATGACACCAGGCCTAAATGTCCACTGCACCACATCACCACAGTGGCTTCACCAAACAAGAGGGAAGCCCAGTAAGCATGCCAAAACAGACAAAGCCCAAAAGATACTGACTAATACATTTAGAATTTATTTAAAACAGCAACATAATATTTAAAACCTCTTTTGAGCAGGAAGGGTGAAGGCACAGTTTTATCAGTCACATACCTAGAGGCAGCTGTTCACATCCCTCAGCACAGTGTATTTCCTGCAGTAATTCAGCTGGATGTTTTCAGCCAACCTCAACTAAAGCACTTTGTGGTGACACTAAGGGACAAACAGAGAAGCCATRGAGTCACAAGTGACTGAAGCTATTCCAGTACTGGAGTAAGATAAGGACCTGTCCTGTCCTTAAATATTTCTTTCTAAACGTGTCTCTGCTGGAGACAGAGCATTGATTACAACAGCCTTGGGTTTGACCTAGTATGACCATTCTTACACTGAAAATCCAATTACCTTAAGCCCCCTGGGCATGTGTCTTGTTTTAGTAGTGGAGTCTTATTCATTAAGTAAATGACTGCTCTATACAGCAATTTGGAGCAATTATTCTTAATCAAAATAAAATAGGACATTCTTCTCTTCTTGATTGTTCACTGGGGACCTGAGCTCTGTACCCTTCACACTGTAAAGTCATAAACCAGACACACAGACTACTGCAGCAAAACATTTTGCACAACTGYGTTCCAAGAGGACCATAACCTCTAYAGCTGAAATCAAACCAACTTCCTTTCAAACAGGATACTGAATCAATTAATCCAGTATTTAAAAAAAGAGGCTTCTCTGGGGAGATGAAACCACTTTCCATTTTGATCATATTATTACATAAAGAAAATATTATGAACCAGAAGATACCACAGAGGAATTGTAAGATAATAGACTTCCCCTGATCTACCATCTGATATGTCAGAGGGTATTCTCAAGTCTGTCTTGCTAATTGCACCACTGGACACAAGATGAGCCTAAACTCATTACATTAAACTGAATATTAAAGTGCTCAACCCTMATTATATCTTTGCTAAAGGAGTAGTAATACCAGTACCCTCAACCCCAAAGAGCTGTATTCAAATTTCAGTCCCACAAAACTACTGCAAACCAACCTGATAAGCGAAGTTACCATCTTTTTTTCTGGGAAGAAAAACTACAGGTATCATACAGTTAACATATTACTAGAATAAAATAATTTTACCAAATAAATTTTGTCTTTTACTATTTAAATCATACCAATAAAGATCTTAAAAGTAAGCAGTTGGCAGTGTTTCAGACAGTTGGTTTAAGAGCTTGTGCAGGGAGATGCAGGTAATGTCCAGTGTCTGTTAACAAGTTCCTCTAAAGTGGAGAGTCACCTGTCTGACTGGATGTACCATTATGGTCCATACAATAAAAATATTTATTGTACCAATGATTCTCTTTTCTTCTTATATGTTAAAATAACAATACTTCCAGCTTGGGTGTTCAATAATTTCAGCTAAATTGTGAAGAAACATATTCTAATACACTTACCAATGCACTGCATTCATGGTCATCCAAATGAAGTAAATGAGAAAGGCCCTGTTTGACTCTTCCTGAACAAGAGTCATTTCAAAGCAAGAAACATCATCAAATAGAGAGTTCTAATGTAGTGCTTTCAGCTGTCACATAATGGAGCAATTTTTTTTACCTACCACCTTTTATACAACATCCATCTGATCTCGTGCTTGAGACTTAGCTTGAGCTGAAGAAGGAATGATTACAAGACAGGTCTGTTTTACAGGAGAAAAGAACAGCAGCAAAATTGCTAAGGGTAAATGGCAAAAATCCCWCTGTTAAAAGAAGGAAAGCAACCACAACAGCAAAACAAAAAGACCAAGGTACAGACAGCATATTGGGTAAGAAAAACCAAAATCATGTAACTAAAATATTACTGAGTTCTGTCTTCCTCTAATCGGCCAGGTCTGAGGAAAATTCAGTCTCTCAATAGTAGGGAACTTTTCTGAGGAGAAAAAGAAAATCATACTGAAGTAATTGTTGGAGTTTATTAACATAATTATCAGTATAAAAATACATGTATAAAAAAATAAAAATTTATGAAAATTCATCAGTATYACTACAGCAGTATATACTATTAGCAAATATTCCATACCAGTCCTTTTGTTGGTTTTGCTTTTGTCACAAGTTAAAATCAAAATACTTTATCACAATTTTTTAAAGAAATTTGCTTCCTTCAGCTAACTCATTTTTCTTCTTCTTGCCATCTGTGTRTCTTTATGTTTTTTGTCACTCAGTTCAGAGGTCAAAGATCAGGATGAAAATTTAGCAGATGGAAATCCTTTTGCAAAGGATAGCTGTTCTCATCTAGCTCAAAGTGGCTCCTGATTTCCAACAGATAGGATGCTTCTGTATCTGCCAGCAGTGAATGACACAGATCTGCTACTATTGTGCTGTAGGTTATATCTGAAGARGGCACTGCAAAACACAGAAAAACTCAATTTACACTTGATTTTTCACAATAGCACCAAACATTCAAGTTCTACCTCCATGCAAGCTCCACTGAATTACTGGAAGTGTAGTTCAACATCAGAGTAGAAAATYAGCTTTTATTTTAAATTATTTKTTAAAACAATGAGCTGAGCCTGTTTCTCATTAACACCCGTGAATCACATAAAACACCTCTCCAGTCAAACAGGATGTATAAAGTGAGGCTTGTCTGAAATATAGCTCAGCTCAGTGTTTCACATCAGAAAAACATGCCAGCTAGTTCTAAAAGCTCCTATTTTGCACAAAAGGAATCCATTCAGTTATTGAATATTTAGGTACACAACTACAACTACTTATTTATATAATAGCCATTCATACCATCTCACTTCCTGTTGTTGCAACCTCTCCTCCGAAATTCTAAGTTTGTCAGACAGACACTGCAATATTCTTTGATGTTGGTTGTTTAGTGTTTTTTTAAATTGTTAGTAATTAAAAAATTTGCTTCCATTTTGAACTTTGCTGCCTGTTTATATCGTAAGTAATTAATGAAACAGTACCTACTAATCTCTTCAGCCAGTCTGCAGGAATATTGAGGAAGATTTTTTCCATCAACTCAGACACCACATGAACATTAATTTCAGAACCTTCATCTTCTACTGTMATCAAAGCAGGTCTAGATCAGAAAACAAAAGTTTCATGAAAGTCAGCTGCTATGCTTGTTTTTTATTGAAGCAAAATTTTTGAAAGCAATACAATTTAATATCACTCTGCAAGATAATACCAAGAACTAGAAATGAGAAAATTCCTATGTGCTCATCTGTCAAACATTGTCATTTTGTACAATGGAATCAGTTTGAGGTATATATAAAGAAATGTCCTTAAGCTGAGACAGAGGAGACTCAGATTAGACATTAGAAATAAATTTTTCACTGTTAGGGTAGTCAGGGTTGCTCAGGGAGGCAGTGGAAATGCAAAGTAGGAAATGAGCTTTGATGTATCACTTGCAATTGCATCATCTCTCATAATTATGTYTTAATACCCCACTCTACAGCCACATACCAGCAAGGTATATTTCTCATACTATGATAAATACCAGATGTTTTCACTAATCACTAAACAAAAGTCCCTTCCTGGAAATACTCCCAAGGTGATGCACTCTTATTAATCTCATCAGAGCAAAATTTCAGTGCAAACAAAAATCTCACAGTTTTTTTTTCTGAAAAAAGGGGCATGTACGTTCTACATTAAGACATGGTCACATGCTGAGAACACAMTCACTGGAAATCTTTATCATTTTTCTACCACCTTTTGTGCAGGAGCAAATTGAGGCTCTTCATGGCCACTAAGACGTTAGTCTTATCAAAGATTAGGGGAACATTTTCAGTTAAGGAAAAAAACCTCTTTGCACTTAATCCTCCCTTACAGGAAAATAAATAGCACATGAAGATGCAAGACTACTTTGCTTAGAGGAAAAATACTAAGCCACGATSTTGTTAGATAAATAGGATAGTAGTATATAAGTCAATTATTCATTAAACTCACTATGAAAGAGTTTAGAAAGAACTTGAGAAAAAAATTTAGATAGAAAATGAATGTATTCTACAATTCTATTACATCCATGGTTGTCTCAATTAATACTCTATAGTTACATGTTATTCTAGTCACTATGATAATTACATTTCAAAAGCCCAAGATAAATGTGAGAMTTGAACAATTATTTAATGAAGATGTACCTACATCAACTGGATCCACTTAGTTTATTTTSTCTAACTGTCCATACAYGTGTCTCACAGTGCCATCTGGTGATAACTCACTACCTCTGCTCTCCAAGAACGTTTATTGAAAACATTTTTCAATATTACTTCTGCACAGTTGAAACCAATTAATCAGTTTAAAAATATGKTTGTGCATTCACAAAATTTCAAATTTAGGCTGGAACAAGATTCTTGAGTTTTCCTTGGTCCTCAAGCTTCTACTCCATCTTAGCTTTATCTGACACAGTACTGGGTAAACATTCCTGTATGACATAGTATTCAAAGAAATTTAAAAGTTATATTTAAACTAAGAATATAATGTATAAATAATGATWGCAAATATAGCAATTMAAGAACAACAATTTGAAAATTYATTAYGAAGACAGGGATTGCTAACCACAASTTAAATAWYTTTAAATATGGGGGATGTTACAATGGAGAACGTTTACCTCCCTAATAATACACATGATTTTAGCTGTATTATGTTTACCTGTAAAATGTTTTTACTTTGTTGTTTGGCAAACATCTAATACACTGCTTGTAGATCATGTTCTCATCTGCCTGTAGCTCCAAACCACATTTAGCACAACCTGAATATGTAATCATAGGCAGAGAAGCCAAAACACATTCCAGTGATGTGTCAGMAGAGAAGATGAGTTGCTTGTACTGACCAGTGGAAATGGTAAACTTCAGTTCTAAGATATGGGCTTTCACTTGAATCACTCCTACAAAAACAATTCAAATCTGAATTAAGTTTTATATAGAACWGAAAGCAAAAGCAAGTGCTACAGCTGATTAAAAACCAAAATTGCTATCAAAAACTTTCTCAATGTTTTCCCCCTTAGTTAACAAATGCTCTAATTTTTAGAGATACTTTACGCAATGAAAAATCATTGTGATTAAATTTTAGAATGTATAAAAGTACTAAATTTCCAGGTACTATCACTGTTTATGTATAAACTAGAGTTAAATGYTGTAATAACAACTTTAATAACTTTCCAGAATTTAGCACCAACTATAGCAATCTTCTAGGTTTCTCTGGGAGGGGATGACGCTGTAAAATGTCTTCTTTRTTCTTTTGTAAGACATTTTCAACAGAAGCAGCTATTTTGCTTTACCGAGCTCCGGTTTTGGAGAAACACTGACAAACTTCATTGATTAATCACAACCTAGACTAGACTGGTTGTGTGGACAACTAAAGTCAGCATTTCTACCTGTGTTCCAAAGCTGTCTTTGTTGGCATTACACACCACACCCATCTCTCCACTGGGTTCAATGTATGAAGGCTGCATTCAGTTTGGCCAAGTATGGAGCAGCAGCCTCCAGAATAAATTCAGAATCCTAGACCTCTACTACCTTAAAAGACAAGCACRCTACTTCATCAACAGAGCATCTGTTCTGCATCATTATACCTGGCAAAACAGTCATTAGAGAGCTATGGATAATATTTACCTGAGCATTTCTCCTCCAAGTGTGCTGAKAGCCTTGTCAGCTCCATGAGGGACATTTGACTTTTCTGAAACTTTTCTTTAAATTCAACTGCCCTTTTGTCATCATCAAACAAGCACTCGCAGGATGACCACGGAGTTGTGTGCAGTTCCAAGTCACCYGAGACACAACTACGTTGGACCAGAAGGTATTTGAAGGCCCATATGTGATCTACAGAACAAAAAAAGCAAAAGTAGTTTATTTTCTATACTGTGGTTAATTTCTAGCAAGCTAAGGTCACTTACAAGACAGAGAAACAAATCAGCAAGACATTCTCATATGGTCAGCTCTRGCAACTTCATTTCAAGTCTGTTGACATGTAGGGTTTTTCCTTTCCCTATAAACTTTGCATGAGTTGTCCCAGAACAGAAATTTCTTTTCATCTCTACCAAATTCACCTGTCAAGACAACTCAGCCTTTCAAAAAAGAAACCAGCCCTGAGATTTGTTGTCAGCTTTAAAGCTGGTAACGTCTCAAAGAAAAAAAAATCTTCATTATATTAACCAACTTTCATTTTTTAGTACTTCCCTGTTGTTTGATCTTCTATCTCCACAATTATCAATTTAACAATACCCTAGCTTAACTTATTTTAAAAGAACAAAACTGGAAATAAATCAAAATTTGGTAGTACTCACTGATGAAAACAAAAGCTATGTAATTCTTGCAGGAGATGCTTTTAGTTAGTTACAGCTGGACTTGATCTCAAGACCATTAGGATAGAAAGCCTGACTCTAGTAAGGGGGAAAGCAGAAAAGGAAAATAAGGAGTAGAAAAATCCCAGCAATTCATGCTAAATCAGACAATGATAAGGAAAACCCAGCAAAACTGGTAATGTAGTTAACACTCATGAATTTTTATAGTTATATAACCAGGCACTATGCAAAAAAKTGCATCTTGTATATAGATTCAAATTTTTAAATATTTATGCCTTCTCAGTGTTCTAAAGTGCACTCAAATTCTGCTGCTTCTAAATAGAGGACACATGTCAAAATCAGCATAAAATATGTTACCCCTCCCAGAGGACTATTTAAAGGTTGAATGGATAAACGTTACCAGCTGAACACTTKAAAGTGCCATCACAAAAATCCTTTTACAGCTAGCAACGGTACAAGGACCTTACCTTTTTTCCTCTGAAGCTGAGGGCACCAGGCCGCCCCTGCTCCCCACAGAACCATCCTATAGTGTTGATCTCTGTTCTGTTCTACTGTTAGAATAATTTTTCTTTGGATGCCACCTCTATAGCTATACACAGATTCTGAAAAGAATTGAAATTACATTATTTCTACAGTAAAAAGCATATAAGCACACAAACCCCATGTGCCTCAGTAATAAAGTGAAATCATCGTGCTATCATATTTTATGGTACAATTAAAAGCAAAGAATACACCTACAGTTTCTTCAGGACAGAAAATAATCTGATTTCTTCAGCAACATGAATCCAGTCTGAAGGAGTACATAAAGTAGATTAATTTACTTTTATCCATCTAAGTACTCAGCAACTGGACAACTCCCTTTGAAACATGAGCTATGTGAGCATCTTTCAGCTCCCACTCATCCTGACATGTACTGAGTAGAAATAAATTGTCCTCAATCTCTCAGCAACTGTCATAATTGGAAGTTGTAACTTCTGTAGAATACACTGAAWGAAACATTTCCCCAGAAGTTTTCACAAGAAAGAAAACTATAGTCGTGTACAAGGCACACTAAAAGTATTAGCAACAGTACATACAAATAGAAACAATTAAGATCTCTACATCACTCTTATCCAGGAGTSTGCGTATTTCAGTTCCACACTAAAACTAAAATACTTTTCATAAATAATTTTTGAGCAAGAGCATGAAATATCTATCAGTTCCAAGATTTACATACTAGAGCAAATTATGAAGATTTCTATCTTCAAAATTCTACATTTAAAACTAATAAACATGATATTGACAATGTGAATAGAAGTTTGAATCTTACTAATGCAAGACGATAGTGCAATATGACCCAATTTTTGTGCAAAGCCTGAAGTCAAGCAGAAACTTTTGAAGTCAAGCAAAAAACTAAGAAACATTTTGCCTTGCAAAATTACTGTTTAAGTTTCACCTACTGCAGAAGTTGAAGTCCACTACACAGACTTACCTGTTAATACAGAAATATTGACAATTTTCAGTATTGAGTGCACCAATGTATTTGGCTGGAGCTGATCTAGCTGCATATACTGAATATCATCCAGTCTCTGAACTTGTCTGTGTGGAATGTCTCTGAAGTGTGGAAATTCTGATGATATGTATGCCAATAAGCCACGGAGAACACCACCATCCACTATAGAATAAACTTACATAAAAAAAAAGCAAAGTCACATATTATTTTTTATGCTTAGAAGTATTAAAGTTAGAGCTCAGAACACATTTACACTGACAAAATCAGAACTGTTTAAGATTAATATTAAGGTAAGGAATTCCTGAAGTATGAAACACTTGATCTGAAATTAAACTGTACTTCAGGATATTATCAAGAGGAGAGAGTTGAATTTAAAGAAAGCTGTTCCTGACCACTGACTGCAGAAGCTGCCWTAAGCAACTGGCAATAGTGGATGCTACAGAGTAAGAACAATGCAATCGTGGTGATATTTCCACTGCATTTCCCCCTCAGTCTCCAACCCTCCACCCTCCTGCAATGAATTACTTTCATTCAATGAATTACTTTGAATCGATCTACTTACTTCATTTTGGAAAAAAATCAATCCTYATGAATTCTCAGCCATCACTTGGCCAGGTACTGGGATAACTGCTCTTTCCTAAATTAAACTCAAAGAACTCAGTTTTTTTAGAGTTCAGAGTGGTAAGCACCGAACTTTATCATGATCTCCACATACCCAACAAATGCTATCATGTCCACATCTAGTGCACAGGTGATCCTACCATACTTTTCTATCATGTTTTATACCTCTCCGTTGCACACATTTCCATTTTATCCCATGTGTGAGGCATTTCCAATGAAATTGATTACTTGAAATAGCTTTTTACTGTGGTTTTCATGGAAACTCATACACTACAATCTTACATTCTTCTGGATTGAGAGTTGAGCAGTTCCCCAGATTCAGTAATTGACTGGTAAATGTAGACTGAAGCATGATTTCTCCACTCCAAAGATTCTCATATGTTATTATATCTGCAAGAAAAAAGCAACCTTATCGACTCATGCATCAACAATATTGAAGTGCATAATATTCTTGACTACATAACCATAGTAAATACAAATGTGAAAGGCACAGGGTTTGAAAGAAAACACTTGGAAACACAGTGATTTTTTTTTTTTCATCTGTCAACATTTCCAAGAAGTTAATAAAGTTTTCTCTCTAGTTTGAAGCAATTCTTCAATTCATTAGATTCCTAGCAGACACTGCTTAGGTCTGGTTTGTATTCGCACTTGTACTTTTCAGGAATGACTGTTTTAAAACACTGACACCCTACAGAATATCCCTGATTCCCCATGGCTGTGYCTGAGGGCAAACTTCCATGGGATAGCCAATGTTCTGCTGGCTGGATAATTGAAAATTCAAAGCAATGTTGAATGACTTAAGTAAGCTACTTACAAATGCTTAGCCATAGTTCCAAGTTATTTGTTACATTCTTCTATTTGAAACAGGCATTTTAAATATCCAAATTTTAAAAAGGCAAATAAAAGAACTCTCACCTGTAAGCAGTACAATATCCCCAGGAAACACAGTGAGAGACCAAAATGCAGCACCACGCCACAGCACCACCTTTCTCTCAATTTCTGACTGGTCARTAACAACAATGGTTACTACAGGAACTTTACAKGAAGGTTTYGGTTTARTCTTTGTCTGTATTTCTTTGATATRAGAAGGATGCAYTATTGTGACCAAAATATTGTATTTTTGATTTTTGCAGCAGCAATTCTTAAGTAGTGATAGTTTCTTTCCGATTTTCTTGAACTCTGTCATCCTCTCTGGCTYCACTCTTACTCCTGAACTAGGTGGAGAAGAATTCAGTTTGGGTCTCTTGGATTTCAGCTGTCTTTTAAATGCTGAGTGAAAAAGAKTAAAGGAATCTTCATCGTTGAGGGGTCTTTTAGAAGAGTTCTCGTGAGAACAGTTCACTTGAGAACACARTATTCCAGAGCTCAATGACTCAATACGGATTTCATTTATAARTTGCTCAGCAGGAACATTAAGTTCTTGAAACTTCTCTGCATTTTCCTCAGCAGCTTCTTCTTGTTTTGTGGCTTCAAACGAAACATTTTTCTCATCSTCCTCAGAACTGAAAAGTTCAAGAGAACTTGCATCCTCTTCCTTATATTCATTTTCAGTCACATTAGTACATGTTCCAACACCAGAATCACATTGGAAGTGATCATACTGCCTCTCTTCAGCTTTTTTGCCTGYTTCTGTTTCTGACAGTTTTACCATTCTTCCCACAATCTCATTCTGATCCTGTGCAAAAACAGCCATATGACTCGAAGTCACYACAGTACGAAATTCAGTGTCTGCTGACACTGCAAAGTCTGAACAGTCATTTGGTTCCTTTGGTTTAGACTCTTGACTCTTTTGTAAAAACACACCCAGATACTGACTTAGCTGCTYATGATGCTCACTTCTATGACTTGACTGAAGTCCCACAGACCTTGGTTGGATGCTGATCTGCTTAGTACTGGCAGCCAAATCAGAAATGTCAGAGCTGTTAACYTCCAAATGGCTGGCTCTTCTCTCAGTGAGGTCTGGGCAGCAGCCCTGTGATGGTTTTTCTTGTCCAGCTGATTCTGCACAGCTCTGGGGAAAGTGCTGATCTGCAGCCTGATTTACATCTGCAGGTGGGTTTGTATCATTGGACACCTGACAATCAGAGGAAGTTAAACTTGTGCTCTTTTTAGCTGTGTTGGTACAAGTCCCTGCCACAGGGGCAGGAGATGTCAAATCTTTTGTTTCTGTTGCCATTAACGTTCCCTGCTGAGCRCTGTCACCAGCTGCAGGAACTCCTGTGACCGTGGAGCTTTTTGCCTGGAGCACTGAGGGAGCAGCAGCACCCTGGATTTTTCCAGAAACAAACCCACGTGGATCACACAAACAGTGGAGTTCTCTCCATTTCTCAGCAGTAGGTGCTGAACTACTTTGCTCTAACACCTCCAGCGGGCTCGGAATACTGGGTGCTCCCACAAAAATATGAATTTGAGATCTTTTTGACATTTTTGACTGCTGTGTAAGTTGGACTTTAAATAATGTGGTTTATGCAATAAGCACAATAATAAATATTAGGAAATGCAAACTTTTTTTGTTTACTTTTTCTTCACAATTTTAAAAATACCTAAAATTCAGAGGAGTATTTCATAGTTTAACTGATAAAAACACTACTCCACTACTTAGTGACTATAAAAATAGATGTACAAAATACAAATAAGGGAAGTTATTTTAAAAACATTTCACATTTATTTGTGTCAAACTTGCATAGAAAAATAAATAAATCAGTTTCTGATTCTGATACTTGGAAACATATTAAAATGAAGTTGAAGTTAACCTTATTTATTGACATATTAGTCTTCACTTATTACTGCTAATTAAACAGTAAAATGTGAATTCACTACTCAGCACTTGATTTTAACTAATGTGAAATAAATGTCTGTAAGAAATCTTCACCACATGGTTAGGAGATCATTTCAACTCCCAGAAAATTAYAGTTYCAACTAAATGATTAAAACACTAGARTTATTTAAAATTAGAGTTTGCTAGAAATGCAATATTTTACATGTAATTTTAGCATGAAGCTACTGTTTCATCCTGTTACTGATAAATTATAATTATTTAATAACCATTAAGAGGTCAGTAAAACTTGAGCAGATGATTTAGGATTTGCTTTAATWCATTCACATAGTATCAAACTACTCAAGAAATTACTAGCTTTTCTAGCTAATTAAAAATAAGGCCACTTACACAGCATACAAAAGAGACCCGTTATTTTTTAAAATTTCTGCTGTATAATTATAATTTAAAAATATGCAGAAACAGCTATAACTGTTCATTAAAATGCTGATTYTTAGCTAATTGTTTTGGGAGTGCTGCTGCTAAYAGAAGWTGCTGTAATAGGCAATTCTGCAGATGTAGAGAACACCAGAAAAAATTCGAGAGCTAATCCAGCTGWAAATAGAAGGAAAAGACCATTGAAATAAATACAGCATTTCAAAATATGCAAATTTTGCATTTAGTACTAATTGAATTAGCAACCATTTTCCTAACAACCCCACTAGGGGTCGATAAATCTGCACATTCATAAGGCTCGTTGTAACATGGAAAAACCATAAACATCCTGGAATAGTGATCGCTGGTATATCATTGCTGTCACTGGAAAAGCAACATACAACCACTAAAATTAGAGAGGGCAAAATACAGAGAAGCTACAAAAGCCAGTGACTGCTATTGCTMACTTTTATGCTCCTAACAAAACAAATACTAGTTAAAGCATTGGAGTGTCCCAGCTTCTGCAGTTGTACATTGAAATTTAATCCCATAAGAATGAAACTTTTAAAGGACAATACTCAAACCTGTGAAAGTTTTCAGTTACATAATAGCTGAATTATATACTTGAGCTATGATTTTTAAGAACCTTTCCAAMCCAAGCTGTTSTATGATTCTATGACCACACCACAGGAATTTAATCTTGGTGTTATTTAATTAATGTTTGCAATTAAAATACAGCTGATATTTTCAAAACCTAAATTACCTTAGGAACAGTGAGTGACCTCTGCTGACTTTCTGGTTCRTGTAATAAGTCCTCTACTAAATGACCTCCTTTGGCAATTTCCAAGTGAGTTTTTGGGTCAAAGAGGCCAAACTCCTTCCTGTGCCAGGAATCATCAGTACCTAAAACCATTTAAGTCTGTAAATCAGAAAGAAAAAAAAAAATAAAGTTTGCCTAAATTCTCTGTACACAAAATTGTTTGAAGAATCTTGCTTTGCTGCTTTAGAATAGCATTATTACTCAGTTAATGAAGTTCTGCACCTTGTTTTAAATAAAAGTCTGAAAGAACAATTCATTASAGACTTTAAAAAGATGAGCAAAAAAACTATCAATCATTTCAGAAAAACACCACTGCCACCAAAAAAAAAACCCATATTATGCTGTAGTTAAATTATCAGTGGGCAGACAGTGGGTTAACTACACCAAAGATAACAGGAGCTAAAACCCATAAAGATACAACTGAAACCTGAATGCACATATCCATTATACCTGTTAATTATTACACCATTTCCTAATTTGTGGAAAGGTGCTCTATTCCCAACAGCCAATGAAAGCCAAGCTTTTTATCTCTGAAATGGTCAGAGTCTGATTGACGGGTCAATGATCTATTAAAAAACAGTAACTACATCAGCAAGTTTTACATTTGCAAGACACTGCAACTAAAGTTTAATATACCTATTGCAAGAAATATATTATTGTACATAGTCTATTTCCTCCAGTCTAAAAAGTAAAAACAGTAATTTTAGATTTAAAGATTTTTAAAATGAACTGCCATTGGCAGAATGTTAATCTCAAATGATTTGCTACACACAGAACAAAATTAAAAATAGCTTTAAAAATCCTCTTCCAATAAGTTACTCTAGAAATATTCCAATGTTACATACAAGRCCTTAAAGATCCCTAAAATACCCTAGAAATAGTCACTACTTTTATTCTGTATTTTACTACTCATTAATAGTATTCACTCACCATGATAATCACTAAGCATTATGACAAGATAATTTAAGAAAGCAGCACACAGCTTCAGCTTCCTGTCATACCTGAATATTCAGGTAGCCAGATGCCTAAATCTCTGTTTTCAAAAGTTACATTACACACCACAGCTTCAAGCTACAAATAAATTTACAGAAATAACAGACAKTAAGGCATCAGAAGACAAAGGACTACAGCAACATAATGCAAAAGYGTAGCCTACTTTCCCCTCCAGAAACACTCAAGCTTTAGTAGGTAAACTGTATTCTTTTAACTTCCCACTTTGATTTGGTGCAGCTTGATGATGAAYATCCTAAATGGCAAGTAGTTAATAACTTGATCCCTAAAATATGCAAAGGACATTATTACCTGCTGAAAAGCTGGCCCAGCAAGTAATAAATGCACAAAGATATTCTTTAAATTCTAATGTCTACTGTGAACTTTCCSTTCCCTAATTCACATACTTGACTTTATACTCCTCCTACATATAGTATAAAAAATTAAAGGACCGATTCATCTGCCTCACAACAGAGAACTGAATTATTCATAGCCATCTTCAGAGTATTTGGTTTCAGTTCAATTCCAGCTGTAGGGTTGTTTGGTTGGGCTTTTTTTTTTCAACAGCTCAATCCATGTGACTGCATAGTAGAAAATCTACTAAGACATTCGCCAACCAAAGAAAAACCATAAAAACCTCTTGATGCAGAGTTCATCACAGGAAACTCTTCTGGCAYTTCTATCATGCTACTCAAATCTCCCTCCAAAATTCAGTGTGGTCTTTTTAAAAAGCCAGATACCGCAGCTGCACAGTAACTTTGAAAAACTGCAGAGGCAGCATGCAGTGTAGTAACAGTTTCATACACTTAGAAACTGAAACAACTCTGGGATGAAGTGATGAACACATTATATGTTTGCTTGCAAATTGTGCAAGAAAAAGAAGGGTGAGCCTTATGCCAACAACTCCAGCTGGCACTGCAAGTGAGTCAATGCACCAGCAACAGCACCCATCTACTAAATCAATAACCTTGGTCCAAATACACATGTATGCAGAGGAACACAATGGAAAATAAAAACTGACAGAGGAAATCAAGCTAAGCAACTCGTTGCAGAAGCAAACTTATTCTACATMAGAGTGAGGATTGCATCATGTGGGCTTAAAAGAAGATTCTGTGTGTGAATGGCAGCTCAAGGAGATTTATATGGATTGCATTAGACAGGGCTAGTGGGACCTAAGAAACCAAGGGAACATAGATGTGGGAGAACATACATGGACATATGGGCAGCTGGGAGATTAACAGGATAGGTAATTACAGGTCTTATCTCTGTCATCATTTGTTTGGTGATTGTTACAATCACCAAACAACTTTTATCTAAATTTTATTACAAGTTTTCAGGCAAAGACTGCAGTCCTGTCTAAAACTGATCTGTTGAACTAAACACAATTTGACACCAAGATGGTTATTTGGCTCACATATCTCCACGTTAGCACATGGAATGCACACAGGCTGCTATCAACCAGACATGGTGGTACAGCAAGAACCCTGCTGGCACATACCAAAATGGATGAAAATCACAAGCCTTCATTTGCCTACAGCAGTATCTGTAATGAGTATAAAGTTACTTCTAAATGAGGTACTTAAGTTATTACTGACCATAAAATAACTTCTATTAGTACTTCCTATTGAAGTTAAATAGCAGCAATACCATTCTGTATTTAGTTCTTCTCACTGGCTGTTACTAGAGCACTACAATACCATTTGGCCTCAAGATAGGTACAGCTGGTTTACAAGTACATAAAACCTGTATTCAGCGATAATGTAGTCACAAAACATGAGATCCCATTTTTTTCCTTATTTGGAGCACTTTCAGTAACAAGATGATATTTAGAAAATGAAACATCAATGATTTAGGTATTGCAATGGAAATGCTTCTAAATACTCCTGCAGTAGCAAGGAAATATTTTAAACCAGAAATCAGTGTTCTAAGAAGTTCCACAGTCTAACACTGTAAAAAAAGTTAAATCAAAATATTGAGTAAGAAGACACAAATTGTTCTACATAACTGTTTCTGAACTATACATATACAAAAAGAAGGCAAGCAAGCAAATGACATTTCTATTGCTAATATTTAATATGYACCTACTTGCCTGCAGGATCAGGGCCTGTGGTTTCTAAAGTTGTGCTCTAAAAGAAAAATACTTCCCTGGATCTGAAACAAAGATATTTCTTCTGTAAATGCAAGCTTGCATCATACAGAAGCATCCACTGAGCAGTTGCATCAGCCATTTTACTTAAAAATCATTATTTTTGGAACCAAAGGATGCAAAAATCTGAACACTGATAATACACTTTCAATTCAGCCACTCAGACAGTCTTCATTGTGTTTGAAAATTGGAGTAAAGGTAGWAGGCTTTTGTGATTAACCTGATAATTCTTTCCTCACTGCCTTTGTGCCTTTTGGGATGGCCACTTAAGTAAATGCTATTTATTGATTTTTGTTTTGCAATACATRAAAATATATAATTAAGGAGATATGAGCATACAGTGGGCTGCTGCAAACAAAAGAAGTTAAAAGTTCTAGAGAACACTGACCTTTTGAGTAAAAAAGAAAGATAAAGGCAAAAGGTCAAAGATACACAAACGTGCCRTGCACGTTTTGGTGCAGAACACTCATTCCCCAAGCCCTTATTTTTGAGAACTATTTAAACAACTAAACTGCTATACCTTCTGTCAAGAAAGATATTRTTCCATATAATTGAGCATATTAAAAAACCTCACCATATTAGAATGGCATCCTTGTGGCTTTTTTTTTTTTTAAAAAAAACTATTTAGTTAGCAGAAAAATTTTCACAGGTATCATCACCAATGAAAATCTATGTTGGAACTGAAACCTGATAAACTGAGATGGATAAAACAATACAGCACCTAAGATGAAAGCAAGGTAACTGGTCAAAGAAACATCAGATGAACTGCCTGTAGGTCTGATTTATTAGAATCAGAAGACAAAAATACATATAAGAAATAATTAAAAGCCACTCTACTATTATTTTCTCATCTTTACAAAAGCTTTRCTCAAAAAAGATTAAGTTTTATAACAAAAACTTGGATGCTGACTGCACATTCATAGACAAAAATGGCACATGGCCCCTGTTTTGGACAACAGACATAGGTAAGAATGCTTGTRCTAAGTCCTTGTGCTTTTGTACTGTGGGAGATAGGGTGTTGAAGAGGAATGTAATTCTTAAATTTACTATGTGAAGTAATCCACTTWATTTTACTACCATGTAAGTAATATACTGCCAGGAAAATACCTTTCATTCTCCATCACAAGTGGCTATGTCAGCAGTAGACTTAAACAGAAGCTGCACTTCCTCTTGCCTTTAAGACAAGTGGGGTATTTTTCATTTGTCAGCATCACTAAACAGATCAAGTTTACTGTCTGTTAACCAAAAAAAAACCCAAAAATCAAGAGTAGTCTACTCCAAGAAGTCATACTGGAGCACACAAGTCATCACTAAATCAAGACATGTCCCAAGGCYATTCAAAACTACAAGCTACACAAGGAGCTCCAGGAAGAAGCCAGATGGCACACAAACCCACAAGACAACTTTAGACCAACAGCCCAATTATGATTTCATTTACTCCATCACTGTTCATATAGGATCCCTCCAAAGGTTCAAACATTTAACCTTCCTGCAAACACAAATAGCAGCAAGTACTTTTTGTCAGGACCGAACCTATAGGCCAGACCTATCTATTCCCTCCCCACCTGAAGCCACATTGAGCACATTTTATTGTTCCTGAGGTGTGCAGCTACATCCTTTATGTGGTGTCATTAGGGTATTTTTGTGAGGTTCAAAGGAGCTGGCGATCTGATGCAATCAATAGCTGATCTCAGAAATTTCACATCTCAGGAAGATRAAAGCTGGCTTTAAACATTTCTGTAGATCCTGTCCCTTTGTATGTGAGCATTGTAATTGAAACAAAGCTCTTGAGAGATAACCGCTACATGGCAGTGCTGACTTTTATATCCCAATTTAGAATTTCGGTTTTTGAAAAGGCAAAGGAATTTCAAGTTTTTTTCAGTATTTCCCTATTGCACATATGCCAAGTATACACTTCAGCCTTAAGTGAAAAGAATATGCTCTTCTATCCAGAAGCTKGAAGGTTTAAGATGTTTTAAGAGATAAAGCTCCCTTAAGGAAATATAACCTTCAGACTTGGGACAAAATGTCACTGCACACTGGTTGACAGCATCACAAAGATCACAGATGGTTCACTGCCCACACTGGCTCCTTGTTGTGGCCACAGAGGGAATGCACCTCCCAGCTTCTCTGCAGAACTGCATCAACGTCAGCCAAGCAAACACTCTTTCACTGCTATTCCAGCTAAGGATTGAAGTTGTTAATTTACTCAGGCATTGCAAGAAACCAACATAAAAAATTCAGACTATTTTAAGTGAATGAGAACTACAGCGAATCTTCCGTAAACAGAAACAAAGTTTTCAAGTCTTTTGGCATTTACCTAGCAAAAACTAAAGGTATGACATGCAAAGAAAAAGAGCATTAGCTTTTTAATATATAAGCCTTTACATTTCAATGGGTTAGATGGATGTTAGTTTAGCAAATTGGTTAAGCTTTAACAAGGAACAGGTGACACTGAGTCACTATCAACACAGCTGAGTGAGCCAAAGGTGCCTTTTAGAAGCAAATTTCCTTATTTCAGAAGTARCTTTTCTCTCAGACTTTAGGGCAGCAACGCATTTTGAGTATTTATTAAAAATAATTTACCTGCTTATACTTCCAAAAAGTGTAGATCACAATTTCTATCCTACTGTGYTCCAAAAAGTTAAATGGAAATATCATCACAACTGAACAAAACATGAAGTGTACTGATTAAATGCCACAAACACTGATCTGGCCTGTACCCTTTTCCATGGTAATTCAGCTGTCTTAAAACACCTCAAGCAAAATAAAGGTATGATGTAACAAGTCATCCTGGGTGTCCCTCTACTGTTCTAAGTCACAGTGTGTAGCAGCAGGGCACAGCAGAGTAACTACCAATAAAAACTTTCTCGTACCTTTGTTCTCAGTCAAAGCACGTAATTTTCTTCACTGTTTTTGTAAGAGGCAATACCTCAATCATTATCTGTACTGTGCTATGACTGCTGTGTACCTGCACTCAGCTGCCTTTAATTCTGTAACTTTTACGAATGTTTTTATTCCTTGCAGTACGACATCATAGTGAAATTTTAAGATGTTTAACTTTCAAAGCTCCTGAAGTATGAAGAGTYAAGGATGGAAATGAAAGAGGTTTATCTGTTTATCCATTTGTCTTCATGCAGAAGCTGCTCCAATCTGAAGTAAAAATTGCTTCTTTCTGCAATATAATGCAGAAAGAGTAGAGATTTAAGAAATGGTCACYTTGTAGTTTAACACATCTTGTGTACTGGAACTGTAATCCTGTTTGCAAATGCAATTTTTTTCTGTATGTCAAATGTTTCAAGTTCTATACTTTATTTTCCCTAGAGCAGAAACAATAGGACTGATGTACACAAGGCCAATATGGCTACTAGCATATTAGCATATTTTCAATCCAGACAACCATGTGAGCTGCTGTACAAAGCTAAAATCACAGCAATCTTCAAAAAATACTTTAAAATTTAAACACTAGAAGAAGTGTCACGTAGAAAAGAAGCGGCAGTGCCAATGTTAGAAATCTACCATTTTAACAAGAGTTCTGTTTTTTGCCCCAATACACAAATGAGTTTGATACTAAAGGAGCTCTGAAGAGTGCTYTGCAACCTGCCCTTATTCCATGTCAAGTGACATCCTTTACAGATACACAGTTACTACTCTGTGTGACTCATGGTAATTCAGTGCCATGAACACACATGTGAATTTTACCTTCTGTAGAAACATGAAAGAGGACAATTAGAGGTGCAGAAACACGGGGAACTTGCTATCCATTCCATACCAAAGTACTCTATGTATCCAGCTGATGATTTCAGTAACTTGCTTGTGCACAGGGAATATAAATAATTATCTACTGTAGTCTTGAGCATATAACAGGAAATGAGTTTCACATTATAACCTKTTTATATGAGCTTACTTTGAAACATTTTAAAAATAGCAGATAAAGCAGAAAACCCCAAAAGCTATTACTAAACATGACTAAACATGTGATCCATTATCTTTCTCCAGAGATTAGTAACCTTTACAACAAACCAGAAGGAAAGGAATTCAAAAAGCAGTACAGTTTGTTCTATCTYAGCTAATGTTCTCAGTTACCTGACATTGCATTGCAAGAACTATACATATGTTAACATGACATATATAAAAAACTTTATCTTGCAGGTAAAACTAACAAACCATCTAAATGAATGGCAGTTTAGGACCCATGCACTCATAACAAGCATTAAGTGAGGTATGGCAACATTTCATGTTAACCATTATGAAAAACTGAAGCAGAAGAAAAGATTGAGGTAAATAAAACTTAAAACTAAACCGCTAAGACATCATATTGGTCAGCACAAATCTACAAAGCAACACATGGAAATTCATTTAATATGATAAAAATCCGATTAAAAAATAATTCAAGGCATCTTTTCCAAAACATAGATAGTGAGGTATTCAGAGACAGGTGAGAATCAAAACTTTAACATGCTTTTCTCAGCAGGAACCTGTATTACATTACAATATATTATACAACATATTATGAACTTCAGCTCTCAACAGAAAAACCATGCAGAAAACTGAATTGCCTGAAGACAGTGAGAAAAAAWTAGTATGGATGGAAAGTTTCACAAAATGAGCAAGTGCAAGGATTTGATTTGATGAAGCTGAAAAGAAAAACATCCAAAACAGTGTCCACTTAAATTGCATTCCCCATTTAAAAAGGCAAATATAGAAGAGGGAAGAGGAAACATCACAAGAATCAAGTACTCTGTATATTGTGTAGTTTTTAATTCCTCTATACGTTATGATGCTACTTGATTATTCTTGCTCCATATGGCAAACAAGTAAGTTTTACTTTACCAGCAGTTTAGGAAGTTAAGCTTATAATCCTAAATGGGAACCAGTCCCTTTACCTATGCTTATCCCTTTCCCTTGGAAAACAGAGTGTTTAGAAAACAAGCATTTAACATTTTATATCCAGGTAATGTTAAAGCATTAAGTACTGATCCTGAAAGTTATTCTGTGCAGTTCCATTCTCCAGGCACCCCTGAAATGACACACTGTTCATTGGGYATCTTAGCTTTCCTTGTAGCATGTAAACATGTAGAAGGAAGCTGTCCATCAGTAGTATTCTCCAATGCTGAGCACTGCAAAGCCACTTATACTGTACTGCTGGAAACAATGGTGGTGTTATGCCAAGTTTTTCCTCTCCAAACAGAGCCCAGTTTCTTAAGACTATAAATATCGAAAAAATGAAAGCCCATTAAATTTTTTTTTTCACTCATATTTACCTCTCAAAAAAGACAATTTCACTCTAGCAGCCAACATCAGTATTTTAGAATATGTAAAATTATCTAGGCTTTTCCACATTATGTTGGATTTCTAGTCTAGTTCCAGGCTCCATGACAGAAATTTGCCACCACGCTTCACGTTAATAAGAATGTTCATGATATTTCAAGAATAATTCTATCCCATTATTCTAAAAATTAAATACTGACTTCTCAGTTCTCAACTTCTCAGTTCTGTCAAGTACAGAACCATTGGAAGAAAGCTTGCCATTGGTTGTCTGACATTCCCAACAAAAAAGCACAATCATATCTACACTGGCACATTCCCAAAGAACTTGTGCCAATCTCAGTATTTATTTYCTTTGTTAAGTAATTCCACCTGACTTGGCATTTCAGAAATTTTTATAACCAAATATAGTCTCAGGTCAAATTATATTACCTACTCTTCACCTGCCATCCTGCCATACCAATTTGCTGGATGAAGACTTGCTGAAAGACAGATTTCTTTTTGGACATGTTAAGCAGACAGTATGAAAATAGCTGAAATGTGCTGCCAAAACCTGTATGGGATGTATTTGACAACCATTCCCTTTTATCCAAACTGACACATTAGAGTCTCTTATGAAGATACGGACAGTGCTTGTTTTTCCAAGGGAACTGTGCATTCCTCTAACACTAATTTCTATGAATTCTTTTAATACAACAGAACCTAGAAAAGCCTACATAACTTTTTATTTTTCATCATCAACATAAAATTAATGAAATGCAGTTCAATTAGACCTCACTGTTTCTGTTCCCAGGAATCAGTAAATTGAATATGCTCTGATAAAGGATAAACATTCAAGACAAGAACTATTTTACTTACCACTTGGGAAAATAATCTAAAGATTTCCCATAGTTCCTGAGGAAAACCAAGTCTGAAAGGAAACAAAAACTGCATCTATTCATCAGAAAAGCAAATTCCAGGAGTTTATCCTTCAGAATAAATACTACCCATGCTCTGTAATTTCTGACCTATATTCATTTAGATATGAGGACCTTACAAGTTTGAAATTGGCTTGGTTACATACAATACTTAATGTATTTGTCCTCCCATATTTTTAAGAAGTTGGGAAAAAATTATCATGTGGGTTTTTTTTCATGGAAACTGAGGCAGTGAAAGGTTAAACAATTTACTTGGCTAGCACAGTAAATTGAAACAAGTGTAGAACTCACTGAGTGAATCTTACTTACTCACACCTTAAACAATTACTGCACCTCAAACATTCCCTGGTACATAATCCTTCACCTTTTTGATAACACACAAAACTACTCTTTTCACCTCAGCTTTTCACCTTACCTGTTGAGATTTTAAGAGTCATTGTCYCTGGTTACCTCATTTCTCTATCTACACTTTTCTCTTCCTGCAATATAAAATTTATTATCCTCCTCTGCTTTTATTGCATTCTTGAGGTCTCCTGGTGCTGGTTTGCAAGCACAAAATATCCAAATGATTCAAAGTCAGGATAAACACTGGGCATCTGATACGACTATTTTTTAAAATTTAGTTCCTGAATCTCACAGACTATTTGAAGGAGGTTCTCTCTTACCTTATATATTGTGCAGAACACACCCACCCAATCAAACCTTAGTTTTCAATATTTAAGAATTACTTTAAGTCCTGAGGCAGTGCACTATATTCTGTTGTGACTTTAAGACACACTCTGAAAGAAAAAAGATGAATGTTTCATTAAATAACTGACTCTTTTTTCTTTCAGTTAACAGGCCCATTAATTCCTTTCAGTAACAGGCCCATTAATTTCTTTAACTTAAATAACCCWCACTGAATTAGCCATCTAATAAACAAGAATAAATTACACCTAAAACATGGGTTCACTGTAGGTCAGGGGTAAAGTATACAGAGATAACAGAACAATGAAAGAGTGGCTTCTAATTCCTTCCTTCACCTATTCATCTATTAYTTCCACGAGGTTTTTGATCACATGGGGAAAAAAGCTCAATTTCTGCTTATATAGCCCCCATTACATTTATGTAAATGCCATATTTATGATAATGCAGCCTTAAAACCTGAGGTGAATGTATTGCATCCTCTGTTCAAGAAAATCTCTAATGATAACTGAACAAACTAAAAGCACATATTATTTAGACTGCCACTTAGTGTTCCCTTATTAAAGAAAAACACCAGGCTTATCTGAAAACTGGTAAGACAAAAARAAATCAGGATAAGCTTTTACCAATTTCATGGTGATTTTGACCCATTTAGTCAGAAGAACACAACGTACTAGGCCTTCTGAAACCAGAAAATCTCTTACTAATGATATGCAGAGACCCTGCCTTACCAGTCAAATAAGCTTACCTTCAACCTACTGGCTTTCAAAGGAAAAAATAGAAGAATTAAAGTAGAGCAGATAAATTAGATAWTATCTTGTCAACATTGACAAGATTRGACAATAAATAATAATCAAGAAAAACGTGATAACATGTTTTCAAAAAATGTTCAAGTGTGCTCAAGAAGGAAYAATTTTATTAAAACAGAAATGTTTTTTATTTCTGAGATTCCTCTGGATGAGCTGTACAACAGTGATTTTGTGCTAGATCTCTGCATYCAGTAGGCACCAGGAACAATCTTGAGGTCTGGGAAAGATGACTASGAAAAAAGATACCACATGTACACGTTTACTTTCAGCATAACCAGGGATTTTTTTTCAGGAAATCCACAGTGTGTTGAAAAATACTAGCCAATGTACTCCTGGACTTTTCTGAGAGATGATACCAATTTCAATTGTACCAACAAACTTGAATGGCAATTCTTTATGCTTTGTATCTAGGCTTCACCCACCAACATATTTCACAGAAAATTTAAGCATTCAAAGATATTTTAACAACCTTGATTTCCATAACCACTCTTCCAAAGTGAAAGAGGCTAAAGTTGATTTTGCTAATAGAAATGCAAACAAAAGCACTACAGGAGACTAGTATTTTCTAGTTCATAAGAGCTCTAATGTTTGTTATTTAAACAACACACACTATGTTTATGTCAACAACTTCTGATTGTCAATTGAGTATTAAACCAAGAAAAAAAACTGGTTTGCAGCCTCTGCACTGATGCTGTGATTCCTGGTTGGAAAAATCCTGGGTACAATTTTCAGCCAGACAGCCAAGGACACCAAGAGTCACAAAAAAAAACCATCTATTTCAATTGTAAATGTTACTTTCAAACAATTCCTATTTCACTCCTGGCAAACCACTTTCTACTGTAATTTGCTATGTTCACTGAAGTAGACAGTGCAATTTTCKAAAAAACATAATTTCCAGGAAATAAACTGACTAAAGTACTTTCTCTCCCTCCTAACCTTATTCAAGAGAACAAAGCTGGCATGCTCACAATACATCTGTGGARGTTCTTATGCCTGTGTATCTGTCAGCTTTCCCATTACCTAATWTTTCATTAGCTAATTTCAAACACATTTAACAGTTAGATGGAAATCTCAAATATTTCGGCATTGGGTAACTACATCATACCCTCTTTAGTGTTTTAAATTAAAAAAGAGAAAATACCAATCAAAAGCTAAAGATTATGCCACAATGASACAAACCAGCWACTTACACAGATTCTCACTGATACAGGAACTGAGAAAGGAGAAGCCTTCACACTGACCCATAAAAGCCTCTATCACAAAGGGCCACKTTGATGGGAAGGTCACTGAAATCAGATTAATTTGTTACTGACTTCAGCAARCTTCAGGTCAGACCTGCAGTCTCCAGAGAGAGCTACTTATTGTCCCACCCATATGAAAACCAGAAGTGGCATTACAAGGAATAAGTGCTGTTAAAAAACAYATTTAATATTTACCAGTTAGATTATCTGGCAATACTCATTAGCAATATATTGACAGTAACAGTATCAAAACACAGCACTGAGAATTTCTGTGTATCTATAGACTGCCTGACCAAGAGAYGAGGACAGCATCTCCTGCATACATGAAAAGCTTTTTATATCTCTCTGTCACAGAGCTGAAGTAACCAGTTGGCAACATCAGTCATCAGGCACAGCAACTATATACAGATGGAGACAGTAGGACTTTAAAGCTAACAAACATAAGCACCACCACTTTTCATGGCARTTAAAAACACTCACTCATGAGGTAGTTATCCAAATTTATTAAATATTTTGATTTCTGCAGCAGAATTACTAACAAGTTAAATGCTCAGAAAACTGCTCTGAACCATTGGTAGACTAGTCCATTTACTGAGGGTTCTTGTAAGTACCTTTCATTTAAGACTTAGGAATCCTTGTCAAATTCACATTCTAAATAATGGGTTGATAAATCTATAGCCAGAATTTTGAAATAAGAATGATATCTGGTTGCAGAAGTTCTGGAAAAGAAAAAAAAAACCCTCATGATTGATTAAATTATGAATTTAAATATTAYTTTTCTCAGCTACAGATTATTCTTGTTGCTATGCCACAACTGAAAAAACAACTTTAGCCTAGGCCCTACTAGGTTAAACCTAGGAACTTCCTACTTTAATTGCACAATTATGAGTTTCACTCCCTACTTTTACAGTGCTATAGACAAGCAAAAACATYACTATTTACAGATGAAGAAAATGATAGCAGCTTATTACTCGAATTTAGCAATCAGGAAAAACCTCAATTYAATGCAAAGTAATGCATAAAAACATTAAATAATCAGACAACAGGTACCTAGGTATCTCATTATAAGACAAAGAATTGAAAGTCTTTATCTCAACAGGAAATAATCTGAATACCTATTCTCCAATTTTGCAATATTGCAGAAAGCACATCTCTARGTTGCAGCACATGCAAATTAACTTCTCCAGCCTGCCTGGAAAACCACTAAATTCAGGTTCTTTTTTATCAAGGCAAAAGGAGTAAATGAAGAAAACCTCCAAGTTGGCTCTCCAGCTCTGCTGTGCCTCAAGCTGAAATTACTTATAAAAGTCTCCAAACCCATAGATCTAAGTATTGATATCTTATGCTATCAGTAAAAAGGCCTTTAAAAAGCTTTAGTACCTAACTTGTTGCAAACAGATGATGGAAATGAAGATTTCTAGTCAAGTGATCATTTGGTAAAAGTGCTCATATAAACAGCCACAAATTAAAGGAATCTTCTGAGATTCACCTAATTCATCTGCTGCCTGTGACAGCATGTCACAGTGACAGCAACAACAACACTGCAACAGTAGCAACACTGAAACTAAACAAATGTTCCACCCATCCCGGTTCAATCCTGTTACATCATGTACTGGCTTGGCATGAAAATGGAAGAATATAACCAAAAAATGTGGCACTTACAGTATAACAGCTTGTTCACAAATTTGGAATTATAATTAAGCTTGGATTATATTAATTATTCCTTAGATGTTTTAATATGTAGTACATTTATTTAAAATACACCTTTAAAAGAACAAATGCTGTAGCAACATTACCTCCCTTTTCTCTGAAGACTGAATGATGGTCCACTTTCCTGCACATAAAGAAAGTGCTGTCTCTTATCTTCACATCCCATGCCAAAACAAATTATACATCAAGTTTTCACTTTAAAGCAATGGGATGGTGGAAAATAAACCACATGAAACTGGAGAATATGCCAAGCTAAAGATCTGGAAAATAATTTGGTGGCTATTTGCCACTATTTTATACACTTTCCACTATCTGCATGCAGCTCCCATGAAGGAGGATTTCTGTCAAGTCCTACACGCTTTCTGCTTACCTGCASAGTCTCCATTTAACACAAACACACAGGATTCCAGCCAAGAGGAGTGTGAACAGTATTACACATTCCTGTCAGATTCATATCCTCCCATTCTCCCAGTGACTATTATGCAACTGTCCAGAGATCTGTTGACTCAGAGGCTGAACAGTTTCTGCAGCAGTTTGGGGTAAGAAAATAATCCCAGCTCTCACCTATTTAGTTACACTACCGAGGTCTACATAAAACAATACTGCATAACACTTAAGTCCAAGAAAAATACCCACATTTTTGCAATTTCTGGTGAAATGAAGGGAAGTATAGTTGCTCATATAGGCAATTCAAAGGTGAACTATGTGCTTCAATTTTTACAATATTTTTAAATTATCACACTGGGCTAGAACATCAGATTTACAACTTGCCACATTATTCCTGCAATCATTAGGAAAAAAGTCTTCCTATGTGTTACCAGTATTCGGAATTTATCTCAATCAGCTCTTCAAGCAAAGGGTAAGAACTGTCAAATGCTCCACGTGGTATGGCTCACAGCTTAAAATGAAATTTGCTGAAACAACTGTAATTCCACTTGCAGATTATTTTAAAAGMAATTTGTCTTCCCACAAGACACTTTACCGCAGAAAGGAACTGGTYCTCTGTACAGCTCAGCTTTCCTCCAGAGCACATTGTTAAATGGACACTCAGACTCTGGAGCCTGCACTGGAGGCAACCTCACGGTTACCTGGGATTGGAAAGGCTCAGTCAGACAGGGGCAGAGTTATTGAGAGCCCTGGGAGGGAGGATCCCGGATCACCATTCTCATCACTCTGCTGAGTTGGTAAGAAGACTGGAATGCAAGCTTCCCAGCTTCCATACCTATCCTAGCTTCTGAGAGAATTCAGCACAGCACATCTTGGGAATGTTTCAGCCAAAGTAACAAATTTTGATAGACAGCACTAAGCTGGACATAAATTACCATTTAATTTTATTAAAAACATGTCTTCCATTCATGATACCACTATTAATGATGTTAAGACATAGGAAAAAGATTATCCTAATCATCCACATATTCCCAAATAGCTAGTACTTCAAATAATATAATGGATTAAAGCAGAAAGTATCTGATTATTGTCTTAGATCCCTTTTTTCAGTAACACTTTAAAATCTGGCACATAGAAAATTACTCCACTTGCTATGAAATTGATAATTTACACCTTAAAACAGCACATTGCTTTAGGAWGGAACAAGACARTGTTTATTAYTRTTYGTATCTGTAAYAAATATAATCTGTTAAAATTTATATTTAAGAAGTTCTCGAAGCAGTTTAGAAAATGAAATCAAGTAGTTTGTCTCCCTCAGTTATACTTCACAGATTTTAAATAGAAACTGGTACCTATCATGTACACRCAGTTGAAAATGACCTKACTGCAAAGWCCATGAATCWYACAGACAGCTCMTACCACACAGGTATTGAGTTTTCTMCACGTATCTCTCTCTTCAGATGCAGGCCTAAGAACAACACTCAGTATGAAATTAATGAAGTTACTGAAACTTCTGCTTGTGAAGACAAAAAGATATCTTTTAATCCACCCATTTTTTTTACTGATGCTACTCTAATGTGAATCTTCTGACAGCATTCCACATACTACTATATCGTTCCTCTTTTATTATTGTGATTACCACTTTCATCCTTTCTAAAACCATTTTTAATATCCTCTARCAAACTGATTCTGATTCAACTGCTCACTGCTTAGCACATAGCAATACTGGAATGGGGAACAGAGATARTGTCTTACTCTTGCCTCCAGAAGGGGCTTGAGTCGAACAGAAATATGGTACAGACCTGCTGAGTTTGATCAACTGCCTGTAAACAAAGTCATCAAAATGTCCAAAATAAAACTTCCTAGGTATCTTATCTCTTACAATATTTAAAGAGTAAGAAATTTAACATACTGATTTAGTTATTCTCAGCATTYAACACACAGCTTGTTGAATATTCTGCCGAAATCCAGTCCTGTTTAGAAGGGAGGATAGTTATGGCACCGCCATTACTTCAAATACAACTGTGTGAGGCAGCCCCTGGACAGATCCACGTGGTTCTCACATTGTCATGTCCCATACTCATCCTCAAATACATCCACAAATGTGTGCTGCAAACAACCTGATACTGCAAGCAGCTGATAATTAAGTGRAGCTTATAAATCACAGAGAACACAGCTGAAAGCAAGATAGGAGCTGAGCACATTAACCCTAAGATCTAAGAGACGTGCTTGAGCAAACTGGCTAATCACATTCTTCATTTAACCTCTGTGTTTGTGAAATGGGATTCTAACCYACAGAACAAGGTGGAAATAATTACCTGATGAGGACTAATTGCCACCTTCCACCACCTTCTCTCCTATGCATTTACAAAATTTAAGAACTTATACAGAAACTGAGCTTTAGCTAATGAGAACCTGCAGAAGACTGAAATCAACTAGTAGCTCAAAGCTGATACAGCCGCTGAGAACACTGCAGCTCTGKGAACTGAAAATTAACACTGACATAGAAGTTTTCCATGAAGCACCTGGAGCATGGACAGAAAACCAAACCAATAACCTTGTTTCTGAAGCTCTGGTTTACATCCAAAGAATAAACTGGCCTAAGAACCAGCTCCTTTCTTGCTTTTTTAAAAAATATATCACTATCAAGGATCTTTGGTCGTTAGACTACAGTTAAAAACCATCCTCACTACAGATAAAACCCAGCCTTATTCGTGATCCTTAAGACAACTTCTTCAGAATCTTAAGACAGAAAACAATATAAAATCAAGATAAAAATTGAGTTATCAGTTGCGTGAAAAGTTATGTGAGTTAAAGAATCTGTGACTAAGTTCCTGGCTGACAAATATAAACAAAAGTTTAATTACTTTCCCACAAGCCTTGTAGCGCAACCCTTGGATGCCCATAGTGGTTAGAGAGATTCCCATAGAGATAAAGAAACTTCCTGGCTATTCCTGGCTTAAGGGCATTGGTCTCCCACAAGCCTAAAAAGCAAACATCCCGCTATATTTTCYAATTAGCAACCCAAACCTACAGAAAGTGAACAAACTACTTAATTCTTCTGAAATTAACCTGGTTCAACAGTACAAGGCAATCTCTGTCCTTCTCTGTTTCCTGCTCTGAAAGCAGATCTTACGCGTTTTCAAGGTATATCCAAAAAGATGTAGTCAAACGTGAGTTACATAAAAGAAAAACACGGGCTTGAATGAACCAAGGCTCAGCTAAATGAAAAACAGTYGAGTAGATGAAGTAGATAAATCTCAAGGTCTTTTCCAACCTCAGCGATTCTMTGGTTCAATGAAAGCAGCCATGTTTACAGCTTTACTCGCTCTGTCCCTTCTCGGCCTGGCAGTCACTTAAACACTCGTGGTTAAGCTGAGTTCCCCCAACGGGCTCCTTTCCCTGGGAGTGCGGGGCACTGCGTGCGTGACTTGCACTGTACTTGCGCTAAGAGAGGCCTCGCTTTTCACGCGGCTGAAGGGCAGAATGAAGGCTACTCGCCCCGGGTTCCTCAGGGGCCACAGCACACGCGATGAGCGCGGGGCCGGGCGGGCCTGGCCCTGAGGGAGCGGCGGCGGGCCCGGCCTCACGCACGGACGGGAACGGGAACGGGAASGGGAA